TATGTGTAAGCTTGCTCTCAGATGTTTAAGTAAAGACAAATCAATAACGATATAATACAAGCGCTTTGAGTTGCACTTTGAGTTTCCTCTAAACTCTCGATAGCGAATACTTAAGCGAACTTGGAATCGATTTTTCCTTGAGTAAAGTTTGATTGAACGCCACCTTTTTGCACAACTTCTGAATATTCGATATTAGATATCTAAGACAGCTAAGCCCCTAATTAAAACTCCAGTGAAGTAAAACGCGCTTACAAAGTCACATGACAGAGAATTACACGAAAGGAAAATATTTTGCTTTATACTTGCACATTATAACACCTATGACTTTAAATCGCACATCATTTATAAACTATCGATCCTTCGTTAATGAAAAGTCGGCTGCAAAGTACTTGAAGAATCCAAGACGTAAAGGTGTGTCGTAAGCGAGTCGAAATTTTGACCCTATTTTTAACCTCAATATTCTATTTAACGCCTATTTTGATACTTTAAAGTCATCATCAATCACTGTTAATTCAATCTACTAACTTTGCCGAGAAGTCCTCTTTTAGAATCTACAAAGAACATTATGTGGGTTTTCCTTTCTAGAGGCGCTAAGTGTGATTTCAGTTTCCATATGTATTACACAATGATCCTTCAGAATACACAGACGTTAGAATGTAGAACTAAAATTTTGATTCGGATAGGTGGCTTGCAAAATTGGGAAAGAGCACGCCTATAGCAACGACACATTCCGCGTAAGTGTACGTACGCATATACGTTCTAGTGTGTGAAGAATACACCGAGAACGCAGAGTATGCTCACAGGAATCTAAGGGACGAGAGGTTGAAGGTGTGGTCGGGAAACGACGAGGGTTGCCACGGCGAGCGAGGCTGGTAGGGAGAAGAGGATAGAAACGTTAGGGTTTTCATTGGAAACTGACGACGCCTGCGGGAGCTTACGGGTGCGGGATTACGAGAGACAGTTGGAAATCCGATCAAAACAAATGGACTGCGAAAATACTTCGTCTCTCTCTGTCTCCCGTTCTCTCTCCCAATACGTCCTTTCTCTATTTCTCTCGTCTCCGTCGTCTTCACACCCTCACCGCCATTCGGCCGGAGGGGGTTACAAGCGACTTGGACCACCGAGATTTTCCTGTATCTATACCGAGCACGAGGTATATTCCCCTCCTAGAAGTCGGAAGACGCGAATACCGATAAGACGGATCGCCCGCTGATCGCGAAGTAATGACCGTCTCTGATTTCTCGCCTCTATCTGCCCCTGCTTTTACTCACGCGGTTATGTTTCGCACGACGATGGCGCTTAGACCTCGAAGCGTCTTGAGACGCTTGGGGTATCAACTTGAGACGATTTGGGAAGAAGAACTGTATAATGTTTCACTGAGAATTCGAGGAACAAAACGAAAGATTGTGTCACCCCGCGCTTGTGTTTGCACGAAAAAATGTCGCGTGCGCATTCACGGATTAACGTTACCGCGAGAAAAAAGTGTATCTTTAAATTGTATCTTTTCAGAAGCTGATAGCGAGCATAGTGCTTTTATCGTTTTCCATGTTTTGTGTTATCACTAATAATGCTACGACTAACACGTGAACGGATTAACGTAATTATAGACGCAAACAAAACATCAAGCTGTCCAAGTACCATAGCTGCTTGACATCGCTGCAGTTTCTTCAAATAATCAACAGTCATGATTCTCGACTATCTAGAAATGAATGCGTTAGGTCAAAAATATTTAGTAACTTTCAATTAGACACATGGCTAGGGAATGGCTAGGCATATATCCTATGTATGTACAGCATATGATATTTGTTTAATTTAGAAGAAATCTGTGAAAGATGCCGATGATTGAGAAGTAGGATCCGCGTTAAAGAAAGCACTGGTCGTACTAATTATTTTACCGAATCTTCGATCGAATCGATTGAATTACTCGCGTATCGATCGTCGACTAAACGGTCTTTAATTGAATTCGTTGAAATAAATCGTCAATTAAACATTTTTCGACTGATGGAACCAATCGTTAATTAATTGAGTGGAAATATATTTGTTTAAATCAATGGTCAAATTGCAAAAAATTCAATTGATATTTTCACAAAAATATCAATTTCTCTGTTCGTTTTGGGTGAAAAATAACATTGATATTGCGTTGCAGCAACCATATTTGACCAAGTGATATTTTTATTGTTTTCGCCGTGTAGCATAGAGCGGTATGGTATGGTGGCGCGGTATTGCGATATCATGATAGCACGCCATAATAATTGTAATACTCGCCTCGTCGCTCTCGCTGATTGCGAAGTAATGACCGTTTCCGATTTTCCCTCCGTGCTTCTCACGTACACACCCGTGCAGCCTGATGCGGAGTACTTGGGCCACCGTGCTTACCGATTACGACCGAGCCGAAGGGAGAGAACCATTATCACGTAGTCGACGAATTGGAGTTTGAAGTGTTCCCACGTGGAATTTAAGAGAAGTACCCGCGACACCCCGCGAACGTGCTCTATCTCTCCGGCGCTGTTCTCTCCGTTAAAAACGGTGACCTTGAAATAGTCGCCAGGTGGAAGAACGACCGAATGGGCTCGCGTGCTCGCGATCTAGAATCTCTTCAAGGTTTCTCAGCGGTGAAGTTTGCGGAAATTGCACCGCGAGATCTCACGAATGAACTCCTCGAGCGGAACGTTTAATTCGTAAGATTCGACTAGCTTTGAAATCTCATTACTGGAAACTCCTCTCCCCCCTTGAGAGTAACACAAAGAATTCAGACGGGAAAAATTCTCGCGCGAGCTTTCAGCATTAATCCGCGGATTGATTGTGCGCGGCCAACATCAAACTGAAAATAAATAAATATTACTCGGCAGAAAAAATGTCGATGGATCTTCATTCCGGCAAGCCGTGCGTGTTCTGTATATAGTCGCGAATAATGTCGAATTCGTGCGCATTTACAGACCTAGTTTGTGTGTAGAGGAAATAGGAGGATTTGCTATCGATCCATAAATCGCGATGTAAAGTCCTAAATGCTTAACGCGCGACATGTATGGCGTGCGTGATCACGGATAAGCGCAACATTTATGCGCGGATACATTGAAAAGTGTATACCCGCCGAATATTCAGTAGTTTATCAGCGAGTTCAGCGAAGCATTTTGCCGATCAAATTTATTCCTTCCGACTGGATGCACAACGGATACGATAGATAGTGGATTAGAGGATTTTTGCGCACGCTCGCGCGGGATTAAGAGGATAGCAGACGCAAGGATTATTGTTTCATAACTCCTCCGATGTCCTGAATTTCCTTGGATCTTGCCGCACTGTTCGATTGCATTTAACGTCATATCTGTATCAGCGGGAAAGTGCAATAGCCGCGAAAGAAAGAAACTATTATTTCCGTCGTATATAATGATACACAAGGAGTGAGGGAGGGACAGGTGAGGAAAAAAATGTTAGATATTTGTGACTATAATTGCATGATGAAATAATTATATTTGGAACATTTTTTTCGTAAGTGAGTGAAAATTCGTCACGGCAGTGTCAATAATAATAACCTTATACTGCTAGCACGACCTTTTTTGTTAAAGCAACAAATAAATATGAGTACTACAAAAAATACTGCAACTGTTTTTTTAGAACAACAAGCTTTGCTAAACTCACTGATAAACTACTGAATATTCAGTAAAAATACACTGTTCAGTAAAACCGCGCATAAACGTTTACTTATCCGTGATCAGGTATGTTATACATGTCGCGTTAAGCATTTAGAATTTTACAACGCGATAATAATATACGGAGGAAAAGTATCAGGTAGTTGTAACTATAATTACACGATGAAATAATTATAGTCGAGACTAGCATTTTTGTTGTAGGTGAATGAAGATTCGCTACGGCACGAGTGTTGGTGATAATAACCCTATATTGCTATTACAGCTTTTTTTGTTAAAAAGATATATATATATATTGTTAACATATAAAAAGTCTGTAATTCTTATTACAAAGCCTTTTTTCTCTCTCTCTCTCTCAGTGTAAAATAGACATCGGCGTAAGTGCACATAGGAAGCTAGACATAAATATCGACGTAATATCGCGTTAAACGGCCTGTAGTATAAACATCGCTCGTTTTATCTATTTATTGCTTAATATAAACGCCAATAACTTCATCGCAGATAAACGATACTGCGTATCGACGATTATCAGGAGAGGAGGGTCAGAAAGTCAGGAGGTACCTTGAAATAGGCGCGGCACGTGTCCGATGTTACGGAAATATCATAGTCTTTCCCCTCGAACGACACACAGTGCCCTACCAGGTGGTCCCCCCTCCTATATTCTCCATCGCTCTGTCTCCGTCGTATTCTCTACGCCATGCAGAACATGACATACGGATGCCATACAAAAACGAAGCCAAGCCAGCTGGCCACGTGACACCGGATAATAATAACGTTACGATACCCCATTTAGACTTTCGATAGTTCCCTCCAAAAGAGTCGCGCGACCTACCAACTGCTTTCGTATGCTATCCTGATCGCAGCGTCCCTTTCAACTGCTCGAAGGGCGAAAACGTCGGGACGTCCACCCTCGGTACTCCGAGTACCGACGACGAAGGGTGGTTAACATCGTCGCGCATGAAATGGGGATGGGACATACTGAATGTTTGAGCAGATGAGACTCCAATCCGAACGCATACATTATGTATTATTTTACATAAAAATAAATTTGTCGCAATAATCATGATATTTATTTTGAAATAAGTAATTTTCGACTCGAACAAACTAGAGATATGTTGTAGTCGACTGCGATGAACACTGCGAAGCGGAGGATGAACCGTGAAATGTTAATGAAACAGAAGGTGCCGCGCTTTGAGAATATACTTTCTTTAAGTAAAAATTTAAATAAAGACTCAATTCGCTACCAAGTTCATTAAATATGCAGCGCATATTACTGGCACCTACACTAGCACTCATCAATTTGCATGTAATGGATCTGCTCATTCAGGTTCTCGGATTCAAGGACACATATATATGGCTCAAAGACCCTAACCCAAGTGAAAAGAAGAGAGGAAATCTTCGCTTAACGAAGGCCCTTGATGCAAATTCTAAGGTAATACCTTCGCACTTCTGTGATGTTTGCTGCGCGGAATTATACGAAATCATTTATCACTTTTCATAGTCGGATCAGTGTAAATTGTGCGCCAATAGCTGTAAATAAAGAATGCGTCAATACGCGTCTCGAACAATAATTGTAGCTATATGTAATGCATCACAAAACCGTGTGAGAAAAATGCTTTTAAACGCAATTCGCGCTTGTTGAGGAAAGATCGTCTGGGCAGATCAACAGAAAACTGTGAAACGACTTAAACGCGATTACATCTCGTTACCCGACTTGGAGTCTGAAAAACCCTTAACGAGAGAGAAGCGTCTGCAATTAAACGCATACGAAGCTGCATTAAATGCCGTTAACAACGAAGAAGAAAATTACGACGTTGTTCATAGGACAAAGATATTTAACGACGAGCTTTGGGATCAGGAATGGTACCTGGTAATATAACGCTTAGTAACCTTCGCATGACAAAAATACTCTACATCACAGTATTATAAATTACACACATACACACACACATTATATATGTTTAGTAATAAACTGATTTTGAAAATAAAGATAAATTTATCAGACTGCAAAAGTTATCTATGAGAAAAGTAACGCATATAAATTGTATTTCCTACATCGACACAAAATTTTAGATTTATGCATTGCAAACATTTCAACGCGAATTACTTTCTCTTTCATAAATTTGCATTGAAATTTACACTAAGAGAAAAAAACATCTAAGAAATAAAATAAAAAAGTATTTATTCGGTAGGTACTTTTTACACTGAGAAGAAATATTTGTCAAATAAGAAAATATATATTGTCTTGATATCTTAACTATTCACGAAAACAAATGTTTGTCCTACTTAAATAAAAGAATTTAATCAGATATGTTATTAGCACCCACCAAATAAATTTTGTTTTAATTTAAGTAATAACGCATATATGTAGCATAATTTACTGCAAACGTAACAAATCTATAAACGTATCAATCTATCAAATGTAATGTTTCCGAGAACTAGGCGCATGAATTTTGCAGCACACACAGACTTTATTTAATGAATTACTGTTATTTGCAATACCGATGAATTTTCTTTACCAACTGCCGTAGCAAGATACGAGGACGAACAAAGCTTTGCCGAAGCTCGACTTAAACGTCTTGCCTCTATATCGACTGGGGATAACTGGTCGGGGGATAAGAATTGCCGTTCTCGACGACGGTTTAGAGTACAGTCACGATGACCTACGAAACAATTACGTATGTAACATGCACTTCGAACTTTCTCTTCGTCCAACAGATGACGAAACATGTTACTTAGAAGCTCCTTTTTGAGACTCAGAAAACACCGTTCTCTCTATACTATTGCTATATTATATTAAAAAACAAATGTTTTATTTACTTATGTAATAAATGCATGTCGGTATTATATTATATATATATATCTATCGTGATTTCGTAGAAAAGATTTGATTCTAAAAAATTATTTTGCAAGTATTGTATGAGGAGAGAATTAAAAAAATTATATATTACTTGCTACTATAATATTATATATTATATATTATTATATATTATAATAATAATCCTGTATTATTACACGATTTTTAGTCTGTATTATTGTTAATGTTTAAACCTAGGACGCAGCCATTAGCTACGACATAAACGAGGACGACAACGATCCCTTTCCAAGATACGACGTATCAGGTAAACCTCGCATCATACGCGCGTTTTCTTTTCTTACAGTATTTTTTTTATATACAATTACAAATAATAAGATAAAACTCAGAGATGCAGTATCTTTGCGTATTTATTCTGTTAATGCAGTATCTTTGCGTATTTATTCTGTTAAACAAAAAATATATTTAAAATGTAAACACACGGTAAAAAAGTGTTTTTGAACTTGTGTTGATCCGTGTAGAAACTTTTGTGCTAAATTTTTAACATACCCGTGTGTTAATTTAACATATTGTGTTATTTGGCCTATTCTGCATTGAATTCATATTTACATATTTACTTCTAAGTTCAAATAACACAATTTATACGTAACATGTGCATCCTTGATAACATATATTTTATATGAAAAGTGCACAAAAATACCAGAGAGATAAATTGTGTTAACAAATTTGCTTTGTATTCAGTTAACTCAAAGAGCAGAATGGATAAATTAGGACATATGAAATCACAAAAATACGGGAAATATCTGCAGCAGATATCACGATACGCGATGATATAGGTATAGCTATGATTGCATCCTCATGCAAACCCACGTAACGACTTTCGCGATATATCGGCCAAACTACAGAAACTACGTGAAGCAAACGTGTCAAATCCTCGAGTAAATTGCGATAAACTGTCGAGGAGTAAAACGCGGCCAGCGCATCCGGTAATGCACTTAAACCATAACTCACCGACGAATCGGCCCTGAAATTAGTTTAAAACTCGCTCGCTTTTAAAACTTCCCTATCGTCCTGATTTCCTGACGATAGTGATAGCGGTGATGCTATTGGAATTCGAGGAGCGAGGACAATTTTGTGTACACTCTCCATTGCTAACAATTATTACTGTTTATTTGAACTTTCTTATAGACTGCTATTATAAACAAAATATACGTCGTCTTTAATAGAAACTTATTATTTCGTATCGTAACGTCTCGCACTTGTTTGATCAAAATTGTCATATTTTCTCCGTATAAATGTTAAAACGTAAGTTCGATATTCGCAGCTCGGTCTTTCAAATAATGTAGTGACGACGAGAAACGCTTGCGGGGTCAATAAGGTCTGATAAATAATTCATCCGATGGTAAAAGTGCTAACATAGTAATATTAATGTAATTCGCGTGAAACCAGATCGAACATGACCATTTGCTCTGTTCTCGAGCTCAACTCTTTCACAGATTCGGAATGTAATTATCGCGACTGGATATATGCAAGATAAAAACAATGATGCAAAATGCAAACATCGTTATTTTGACTGCTGTAAATAAAATGAAAGTATATAAATTATAACATGGTGTTAGATGCAAAATTGGAAAATTAAAGCGTCTTCAGGCGAAACATGTGGTAGCTCGTAAAATTTTCTCAAGAGGTAAATTACCGAATGTTTTCTCAAACAGTATCCACATATATCTCTGCAGGGAAAAATACATAGGTATTATTTTATAGTTTTCTCCTTGATTAAATATGCGTTTCCGATTATATAAGGTATCCAATTTTAATTGCATACCCTCAAATATCTCAAAAACAAGACATTATAGAAAAACCTGTGGCAAATAATGTGGTTTTAAGGAGAAAAGAAGATAGTAATATTTACTTGTCCTTGAAATGACTCTGGAAAGGCCTGTCGTGATCAATTTCACTTAATTTTAATTAAACGGTTTAATTTTTTTTAACAGAATCATATAATTTTTCCAACACAGATAAATTTCTCTGATCATTCTACGTGTAAAAATATTGAAGTAAAATCATCAAAAAGTAAAATTTCCGAGATATATTTTTCTTTTTATCCAGATACTTTTCAATATAAAATATAAAATATCTCATAAACTATTCACTTTTCAATAATTCCACTTCAGTACTTTTAACCGCTTTATACTTTCAGAGGAATTGATTTGTGTCAGAAAAATCATACAATTTCATTAAAAAAAGAATTAAAGTCAACAGATCTTTCCAAGATTATTTCAAAGTCAAATAAATGTATTAGCACCTTCTTTTCTCCTTGAAACCATACAATCTTTGTTTAATATGCATTTTTCTATATCTTGTTTTTGAGATATTTTAAGCAATTAAAAAATGGAACACCCTGCATGTGTTTCTCCTCCCTTGGTGGCATAACCAATCGCGCAAGATGCGCCACTTGCGCCTTCATCTATAAATATCACTACACAGGATGAAATTACTCGCGTCGCACCTTGAATTTAAAAGTCAAATAATAACGCACCGCGCCGCCGAGTGAAATCTCGAGACCTCCTACGTGGACGTTCCCACCGTCCGCTTCCTCTCCGCGCGCACGGCGGACTTCGGCGACCCGATTGAACATTACTATTTCACGACCATTACGAATTCAACGACTCTCCAGGGATGAACGGTCACGGTACCAGGTGTGCCGGTGAAATAGCAATGGAGGCCAACAACCGGAAATGCGGCGTTGGCATCGCCTTCGAGGCGTCCATCGGGGGTATCAAGCTTCTCGACGGCCTGGTGAACGACCGTGTGGAAGGCGAGGCACTGGGATACAGATCTGGACTCGTCGACATCTACACGGCTTCCTGGGGACCGGCGGACGATGGAAAAAGTTTGGAGGCACCCGGTAGACTAGCTGTCGAAGCACTCGAGCGTGGTGTAAGGGAGGTCAGTTCGCTGTCAAATTATCCGTTTATATCTTAGAGAAAAAAATTTTCTTCCTTCGCGTAGAATGTTGTGCAAATATAAATTACTTGCCCTCGAACATAGAGTTCGTTCAAGCGAGATCCTAATTGAAAAAATTTTATCCAACACTTCTCTCTCTCTCTCTCTCTCTCTCTCTCTCTCTCTCTCTCTCTCTCTC